GGAATGGTCTAACTGGGTCGCACAGTCGCCTTCCGCCACGGGGTCTTCAGTTAAAAAGCCCCATCGCAGTAACAAACCGCTTCAGGACGTCAGTCTGTACGCAGTAGAGCGCTGCAATGCATTGTTTGGTACAGAATATCTAACATCCAAGGAAAACTCTCAAGTCAACATTACCCGCACACATGAACCGCCAGAACCGGAAAAAGACATTGGTGATACTGCGCTAGTGTCTCCACCTCAACTTCCTCATTCCTTGCAATCGTCGGAGCAAGTGGTGCTCCATGACATGAAGCGAGTTATCGGAGACGGTCCAGTCTCTGAGTTCAAGCTCCAGTTCGCGCCTCGGTGGATCATAGACAAAGCTATTGCTGACGAAAAGAGTAACTACCATGACGCAGGAGCGTACAAGGAGTTACATTTTAGAGAAATTCCAAAAGGTGCAAACGTGATCACCTCGCATCACTTCTTCCAGATCAAGAACCATGCAGAGGAAGGACGGCTCCGTCTGAAATGCCGCTTGGTTCCTCATGGAAACCGGGACAGAGAGAAAGACTCTGTGCGAAAAGACTCCGCAACAGCCCAATTTCCGATCATCCGCCTGCTTCTCTCCTTGGCAACCATTCTGTCCCTATCGGTCGCCTCCATCGACATAAAGGGTGCTTACCTCCAGGCAGGAAATCTCCCTCGCGATATATACGTTCGTCCACCTTCAGGCTGGGCATCATCTCCACAAATGCTATGGAAACTTCTCAAGCCCGCTTACGGCATAGTGGAGTCTGGACGATTATGGCAACTAGTTGCCGAGGACTGGCTCTCCAGTAATGGGTTCCTCCCAATACCTGGTCTCCTGCAGCTATTTGTCCGTTACTCCAACAGAGGAACTATCGAGGTATTGGTGGCCAAAGTCGTCGATGACTTCCTTATCGCCGGCTGTGCACGCCATATTCAGCAGTTTCATGACTCGATCTCTCAACGATTTGTCGTCGGGAGTTTCGTGATGAACAAAGACTTGGTCTTCAACAGGCTTCACATTCACAAATGTGGAGATGGGTCGCTCGTCCTTGGCATGCAGGAATATGTTGACAGTATCAATCCTCTGCCATTTACAAGGGAACGCAGGCGGCAGAGCTCACACAGAGCCACTCTCGAAGAGCTTACCGCTTATCAAGGTTTAGCTGGTAGCTTAAACTTCCTAGGTCATGGAATCCTTCCCCAAGCTGCCTTCGCAGCAAGCTATCTTCAACAGGCCGTCGGACGTCTCAAAGTTTCCAACCTGATCGTCGCCAACCAGCTACTTTCCGAACTGAAAACACTTGCGCCAACTCTGACCTTCAAAAGCCCCAAATCTCTCGAACAACCTTGCTATTTGGCCTTCTCTGATGCCAGTCAAGGGACATCGTCATATGGGCAGACAGGATACATCTCAGGGATTTTCCTGCCCGCAGGGGGTGCGAATGTATTTCATACTCTAGACTGGCTCAGCTGCAAGCAAAAGCGTGTCGCGTTTTCATCAATGGGCGCAGAGATCCTGGCTGCAGCATCTTCGGCAGATCGAGGATCACTCATGGCTCAGAGCATAAGCATCCTCAATGGTGCTACAAAATGCCTGCCATTTGTCTTAACAGTGGATTCGCGAGGGCTCTACTCAACCATCACCACATTACACGAAGGTGCCGATTATCGCCTTCGTCCAACGGTGGCAAGGTTGAGAGACTCATTTGAAAATGAAGAAATCGCCGTCATGCAGTGGATTGGTGGACAGCAGAATCCAGCAGACGCATTAACTAAGCGAAACGTCGTCATGTTTCGCCTCTTGAACACGTTGATGAAGGGTGGAGTTGTACACGAAGAGCTGTTACGCAATGCCCGACGTATGTCGAAGGACAATCCATCTACGTGAGAATTGGATATTTATTCTTCGTCTTCACACTCAATAGCCCTCTTCTTCCTTCTACATACAGCCTTTCGTACAACACGTTCCACTTCCCTTTTCTTCTCTTCGCGACGCTTCGGTCTGGACTTGCGGCGGTTGTTTTTCCCTTTGCCGGATTTCTGGACTTCCAATCTCCTTACCTCGGCAACTTCGTCGAAATGGTTCCGGTCTCCAACGCAGGCAGCCAGAACTCCAGGTTGAAGCCTCAAGACGAGCTTCTCTACGCAGTCTAGGACAATAGACCGGTTGGCGTCTACTGCCACAACATGATCAATCCCCGCACCTCCACTATCCGAACCTTTCAGCCGAACAAGGAAGATTCCTTCTCTGCTCTCTTCCAACCATTTATCAGTGCTTTTCAGCATCGAATGTTGAACCTTACAAAGTCTGAATCTCCCCAGGTTCCTTTCAAGGCACTTCTGTGCTTCTCCGAGACTACGCACCACAATCTTGCCTCTCAGCAACACTGCTTCAGCTGAATCGTCGTGGCCTGCGGCGTGAAGGGCATTGGCGATCGAAGCCCTGACGCATTCTCCGCTCCTCGAATGGCAGAAGACTGGAACCCCCGACATTCGATACTGTATGGTTGCTGTAGAAAAAGTCCGCATCCCGGGACCACCAAGGCAAACAAACGCATCTGGATTCTCTCTACAGAAAGTGTCAAGCCATAACATGTACTCGAGCCTTTTCTCCTTGCTAAACACCAACGAGAAAGACGGAGAATGCGATCCAGATGGGGCTTCCTCGATGTCGCTGCATATCGGGCTGCCCAGTTCTCCTCCCAAGAAAACGTCTTGAGCCTCCAACGTCCAAAAATCCATCTGCCAGAACGTCCTCCTCCCCCCTGAAGTTCTATGCGAGGCATAGAACTTATTGCGTTGGAATCCTTCCCGGTTTCCCGAACTCCAGACAAGCCTCTTAACATCCCACCTCCGGTCTCCGTGCTCCGTCTTCCCACTGGCAAGCAATCCCCAACGTCCCAGCAAACCGACAGCGAACTCATGGTCTACGTGAGCACGCAGCCACTGGACAAGATCTGAAATCCTGCTCGGACTCACCGACAGAGCCAACTCGAACATCTGCACGCTCATGTGCGACTCCTCCAATCCGTAGCGCACGCGAACCTCCGTCGACTTCCACTTTGTGGTCATGAACGTGACAGCATCGGCTTCGGATCTCCTCCGCGAACCCGGCATGCGAACGACGAGCTTCATCGCTGACCCGAATGTGCCGCCCGATCCCGGGCCTTCCGGCGCTCTGTAGGTTCAAGGGCGACACGGGGGTCTGCAATGATGCTCGCGCACGCTGAAGGGTTGTCAAGCGAGGGATCGAAATAGATGAGGGATATAAGAGAGGGGTTGGGGAAAATGGGCAATGAGGTGGATAATTTGGATAGAGCGGGATGTGAAGGCATAGAAGGAAGTTTCAGCACCGATGGGATATACGAAACCCCGCGCTGAGCTCGCAGTTAGATGCGAAAGTCGCCGGCATCGACATTACGTACGCCCGCCGCCGTCGGCGCGGCGGAAGTCAGCGTGGCGGCAGCAAAAATCACAGTTGTTTCTCGGGCCAACAGGGGGTGTGTTGGAGGGGACAGTCTGCCGACGGCGGGTAGCCCCGAAAAACATCTAAATTTAATGTGGCTGTACTGTGGTCGCCGCTGGTGCGGCGGCGAATAAATAGAGGGCTCAAGTCCGGGGTCCATCTGATTCCCCGGGGGTATCCGCTACCCATTCTCCTCTCGCCGGCCAATCCTCTCGAGGACCATCTCGTGACGATCTTTCCCCGTCGGCGAAATCCCCAACGTTCGCCTTCCTCTTCCCCTGTTATCCTCCGCCGCTACGCGCGACCGCATTCCAGCAGTGCTACTAACATCCTTGTGCACTCCCGCCTACCATAGTAGGCCATTCTAATTTCGTACTATGCAATTTTCTCCACTAATTTTTCCGACAGACTAAATCCTGTTACCGGGTGTAGTTAGACGTGGTGCAGTAGGCGTTGCAGTGTGTTCCATTCGCGCCAAATCATACCCACGTGTGCCTTCTGTGTGGGAGCTGAGTTCTGAAAAAATAAACGATTTCACTATTTGACCACATTTCAGAATCAATTGTCACATGCAGCAACAGAGTTTCCGCAACGTGTAAGAGCAAGTCAAGCATGGTGTAAATCTCAATATTTGGCTAAATTTTAGCCATGGGGCAATGGCAAGTCTAGCAGTGCAGTATGTCTTAATGTATTTGGTGTATACCACACATTTTGGTGTATAATTTCTGTTATCCACCGACACAAATACACATTGAAATACACCAACAAGTCCCCAATTTTATTTTAAAACTAGATTGATTCATCCAATGAAGTGTCAGGTGTATTCACAGCTCTACTTCCCGCCCAATTGTCCCACTCCTCACCATGGATTCTGGACACTCTCCAAGCTGTACCCCGAGTACGAGATACTGTTACAGTAGGTTTCACCGAAACTGCTGGGGATGCCAGTGATAGTTTCTAAATCGTGGTCCATATTTTCAAATGTGGTGTATATTTTACCCAACTGCTAGACTTGCTCTAAGACTTGTAAATGCTTCTATTCCTGAAAAGCTTAAATTGCAATTAGCGAAATCCAGCTGCGTAAACCCTATATTGACTTTCAGCGTTCTCACGTTTTGTAGTTCCGAGTGATGTCATGAACAAGATTACTCATTTCAAGTGTTTGTTCAGTAGGCTGACACGAATCAACGAGTGACAGTGTATGGCAATCCAAAATCAGCTGCAGAATCATTAATCATAGTGTCGATTATTTTCACCGCTTGTTCATGGCGCCGAGCTCGTCTACTGGGATGAAAATCTGAGTTGTGTATTGATAGTCTGCGGTGGAAGTTCGAGAACTCTTCAAGATCTCCTGGGGGAAATCATATTCAAGTTCACGGATATATTAATAAAGCGGCCATAAGCATGAAATGTTTTGGGCACCAGAGTGAGGGCTTGTCTTAGACCAGGAAGCCTTAACCTCTGCGGTCCCTCAATTAAAGTTCACGAAAGGCAAGGAGAAAAAGTATATAGTGAGAATAGAATGAGATTACCGAAGGTAGTGGGAAACTACGAGATTCAAGACTTGCTTGGACAAGGGAATTACGGAGAAGTTAGACGTGCCAGACACCTGCGCACGGAGAAGTGCTACGCTGTCAAAATTGTTCGTCGCGAGTTCATCGCCTCACGACACTTCGGCATGGACATTCGCAGAGAAATGGTAAGGCTCAAGTTGCGAACTACAATTTGAAAGGAGCTATCATAGTGGCATGAATCAATGAAATCCTCTCGCGCTAACATGAACTTTTCTAAAACTCTGCAGTCTATTCTGATGGCAATGGACCATCCAAATATCATCAGGTTTCACGATGTTTGCGTCGGAGAAGAGCATATCTTCATCATAATGGATCTTGCTGCTAATGGTGACTTATTTAGCTTCGTCGCTAACTGCGGACCCCTCCCGGAGTGGAGGGCACGATCCTATTTCAGTCAGCTTGCAGATGCGGTTACGTACTGCCATTCCCGAGGAGTCTACCACCGCGACTTAAAGCCAGAAAACATTTTGCTTACTGACGAATACCGAACACTGGAAGTTGCGGACTTCGGATTTGCTGCCGTCATTGACAAGCATTATGATGTTCATCCTCTACTGCGAACCAACTGCGGAAGTCCTCACTACTGTGCACCTGAAGTTTGGAATAATGAGAGGAAGGGGGGATACGACGGCAGTAAGGCGGACGCTTTCTCGTGTGGGGTGATTCTCTATTGCATGTTGGTTGGGGCCCAGCCATTTCATGATTCTTCTGTGGATCTCATCTTAGCGAAAGTCAACAGATGTGAATTCGATGTACCTGCCACAGTTTCTGCTGCGGCATGTGACCTTGTTGAGGGCCTCTTGAGAAGGGACCCTAACTGTCGAATTAATCTCACGCAGGCTATGCTACATCCCTGGACGAGCGGCAAGGCTCTCGCTAAACCAGAACTTCTCAAGACACTACATGAGGCAAGAGGTGGAATTCTGGGGTCTTGTTCCGGAACGGCAAAGTAGCACTGAAGCGCCCGCTGCTGTAGCTTTGTAAGATTTCGCGTGCTTCCAAAGGCTGGCATTCGACACATTACAGCCACCTCAGCTTGAAGGGAGTTGAGGCATCCTTGCCAATCGAACGGGTCTACTGACCTCTGCTGAACACAAACTGTGCGTAAGCACACACTGCATGAAAACAGTTCCAACAAGGAAGGTACTCCTGTATGTGTGTTACTTTCATCAATCTAACATTACTGCTTGGGATCTGAGGAACTGAGCGTAAACCTGCATGAATCTTGCGGCAAAGGCTTCAAGGTGAAATATGGGCTTCGTACCATTGGTTAGGTTGCGGTCGAACTTCGCAGACAGCTGGCATATTTCCGGGCAAATTTCATCGTCCGCGATATTGAGAATGTTTTCCACTAATCGCCGCAAGATAACATCAGGCGGGATGGCGTGGGCGAGGAGCTCTTGCAGGCGTTTCCGAACATGCACAAGCTGTTGAGCAGATTGAGATCGTGTCATGAGGATGGCGGCATCATTGCATGCATATTCCCAGTCTCCGCGCATGATAGGTGCCCCTGGAGGTAAATCTAGACCACCGACAGAAACACGAGTTGCTTCAAATTGCAGAATGGCGCGACGGAGATTTCGAGATGATTGCTGGGCAAGTCTCTTACTGAGTGGTTCTGGAAGAGAAACACCCTCCCTTTTAGCAATTCCGCTAAGGACAGACTGGATATGGCCTTCTGTAGGAAGTCCAACCCTGATTCCTAAGCATCGAGAGCGCAAGGGCTCCAACACCCTTGTCACACTTTCGGCGATCATAATGATACGGCATGTTCTAGAATACTTCTCCATGGTCCTACGTAAGGCCTGTTGTGCCAACCTACTCATTTGATCGACTTCATGAAGCACGATTACCTTAAGAGACTTCTTGATGGATACATTCGAGGATGTCATGTCTATTGGTGCAAACGATGCCATATCCTTGATTAGCTCTTGAACCACTAATCTGTCGTTATTTCCAGACTCCGACGGATTAAACTCAACATGATGGGATGACGCAACTGTTGTAACTTCGACTTGCTTGGATGACTCACCAACCTTGAAAACGCGATGAACGACTTTTTTCTTGTCTGCCCTCGGTCCGAAAAGGGCTTTTAGAACACACCCCGCTCTCGTCCGCTTCCCAGCTCCTGAGGGTCCATAAAATAAGAGGTGTGGGATATCGTTAGACGAGCAGAGGTTTCGAAGTCGTTTTGTGAGATCCTCGTGGAAAGATAGCTCATCAAATGACGATGGGCGGTACTTGTCTACCCAAAGCAGACTGTCAGACGCCATTCTATCCCGTATATGGAACGCGGGCTGTTCGGCCTTGACACTGCCGGAACTGCAGACCTTATACAAACATATGCCGACCCCTCCCGCGGCTATCTGCCCGCAGCGAACCGTGAGCCGCACATTGGGTGACTTTCCCTCCAAAAAGACAGTTGCTGTTATTGACCTGTAATGCAAGTAGTGTGCTCTGAAAGAATCCAGAATCACACGTGTGAGTCGTGTCGATTGTGCTTTCGATTGATGCACCCGGGGACCTCACGCGAGGCCCAGTGGGCCATCCAACAACTGGCACTATCTCCTGGGATATGCGAAGTTCGCATATCCCAGGAGATAGTGAGAACGCGAAGAACGCGTGTTGGAACAAGCAAGTCTTCGCATTGCAATTGCTTCGCATTGCGAAGACTTGCTTGTTCCAACACGCGTTCTTCGTTTCCGTAACTCAACGCGAAAAATAAAATGCCCAACTGTATGGCTTTCACGACTTGCCGCCGTCTTCAGCGTCTCCCTGCGGATAGCTGGCTCGACTGAGTTTGTCCGAATTAATCACTTTTTAATCACTGCCTGTTTTCGCATCAGAGGATCGTCCTCCTGACATGTACGATGAGCCCGTTCTCGACGAAACGAGCGACGTAAAGCTACCGTCACATTTACAAATCTTATCATTTTCTGTCGACGTCTTTCCGTTTGAGGATACTGTAGTACTATCATGGTTTCTTAAACCCGGTCAGATGTGCGCTACGATTTAGTTCACAATATCCTAATTCACGCGGAACTACGGTGCTATAGAAAGCATTACTTTGCTTCTGTTCCTCAGCGTTTTGACGAAACGATAGTGATGCTCCTGGTATTGATTGTACCAGTTGCCGTATTGAGCACGGGCATTACTGTTCAGGTTCTTCCCGATCCATGCCCGAAGCTGTCTGGGGTTTCCAATCCATCGGATTAGTAAAATAAGATTATGGTGTTGCTCTTCCTTCGACTTTCGAGTCAGCGGTCCGCCCATGAACACATTCACCATTTCTTTGTCCATTTTTGTTCGATCTTCAAGCTTGTAGAAGCCCCTAACTATTGTGGGAAGGAGCACTTCTTGATCGGCGAAGTAGTTCATGAGCCGAGGAACAAACAAATCAACCGCCTTGTACAATAGAGCAAACATTTCTTCGGGACTGCTCAACGGCTTCTCATTCCACACGTTATCAACCTTTACAAGGTGTTCTTGCAATCGATCTTTCAAGCTTCGCATTTTTGAAAGCGCAAGCTGCACCTCTTCGTCGCTTGTCCCTGCCGCATCCACCCACGGAAACAGAATCGTTCTCTCCATCTCAAAGTAGCAGTTGAAGAACGAGCTTGCCGTTTGCCACCAGTCCTCAATATCGTTGATGTCATCCCTGGTAATATCGCCAGTTCCCTTACATCTTGCCATCGACGTCAGAATCTCGTACAAATCGATGCATTCCCGTCGAACAGCATTATGAGGTAGAGTAAAACCGTCAATGTACCATTTTGTTCGAGACACTGGGCCGGAATACTCTGCCATAGCGATCACAGGGACTCTAATGTGCGTTTCAGACCTGAGTGTCTTGCTCGCTCGAATGCGCTCAGAACTGATTTCAGAGTAGAAGAATTTGTTTGCTCTGCCGTCCAACTTTCTAGCGTTGCTTTCCGGCTCACTACCTCGCAATCCCAGGTGCGATCCTTTTGCATTATCCACATGTTCGACAGACACGTCCTTCCGCGATGGGAAAGTTGGCACCTTCTGCCCATCCCCTGAGGCTGGCGGCTTTCTGGAAAAGGACAACAGTCTCCCTGCAGCCCTCAAATTCATTCTTGTCGCTTCCTTGCGCAAATTGTTTCCTGAAGACCTTGTTCGCTCACCTTCCTGTCCCTGCCCCTGCCTATCAGATTCAGAGGCTGAACCCTCTAGTGGATTACTTGAGAGTGTACTCGAGCTCAACGGAGACATGTGGGCCTTTTTGCTGACATCCTTTCCACCGTGCCTCTCTCCAGCAGCATCACTTTGTTGCTGAGATATATTTCTCCTCGAACGAAGAGACATTATCCTGCCCATTTTTGCAAGACTCATCCTGCCCGGTGCGTTACTCTGCTTCTCGCTCTTGCCTTCTGGTCTTTCTCGATCAACCGATCGATCAGAAACCATGGACTCCGATTCGAGTTGGCGGTCGACTTCCGTCGTAGGGGTAACCGGAGAAGTCGAGGCCTGATAGGTTTTCTTCCTATTCCGAGACAACAGGCGCCCTACTTGTGCCAAGCCAGACCTCGTCGCAGTCTTGCCGGTCGTTGATGTGAAAGTCTGTGATGCAGCTCGTGATGACGGTTTTGAGCCCAGCCCTGTAGTTCTATCGCGATCTGCATTCTTTGCCCCTTGTGAAGTATCTGACTTTTCCCCGGCGACACCCTTGTTCTTGTTCATAGACATTAACCGACCAGCTGCGCTTAGACCCTGCCTTTTTGCAGGCCTCGTAGCTGTACTGTCTCGAGAACGTTCAAGCATAAGTGCCTTCTCCGGCTCAGATACCTTTTTTACAGTTTCGAAGTGGACGTCGGGGTTGGCCTTCTTCTCTTTTGTAAAAGACATGCTCCTCGTTAGCTTTCGTGCAGATAATCTCGCCCCAGAACTCTGTTTCGAGACCATAGGGACGCTCTCGTTGGTCCTAGACCGTCCTCCGTCTGCTATCTTTACTGTACTGACAGCTCTTTGAAGCCCCACTCTCAAACCTCTTCTTTGCTGCACCTTGTTGTGATCGAGGTCTTTTTTGACGCGAGAAACATCCATTAGCTGCGCCGCTGGTATCGAAATGCGCATAAATTGGTTCTTGAAAGGATCACTTGCAACGATTTCATCATCATCTTCATATTCGTGATCATCTGCGTCCTCAACGTAAGCACCCTCGTATGTAGATACATGAGGTTCTCTTGACACATGGCCACTTGTTTGTGAAGCAACTGCTTCAGCTCCTTTTCTGCCGAAAGCCGGCGCGACGGTGGGTGTACATGAGGGATTCGAGTTGACCGGAAGCTGTGCTCCCTCAACTTGAGCTGGAGTCCCATCCGCTTCCTTGACCTCATCTCGGTTATCACTTTGCACGCTGTCATAGTAGAATCTTCCCATGGGCATAGGAGTAGCGTTACCATCTTCGTCATATACCATGATAAGTTTTCGACCGCTTGGCGCAATATCCGAATGAGTATCTCTTTCATTATCTGAGAGACTCAGGTCACCATTTCCATACTCGTACTCAATTTCCAGTGTTTCTGGACTCACAGCTATCCCTCGGCTGCGTTGTCTCTCCTTCGCTGCGGCGTCCAAAGGTATCGACCGATTACCCAAAGCCACATCTCGGGAAGCTGTCGTCCCTTGCCTGTTGTTCATGCCGAATTGGGATCACTGCCCGTCAAGCATTCTCACGCCCAGTATTGGGCTCTTGGCGGGCCAGTATTATGTGTATAGGCGGCGTCTATGTCGAAAGGAAATCACTAAACGTTCGGATGCGAACTATACCGACACAGGCGGAGTCAGTCACTTCCAGGGCACGACTCTGCGAAAGTGCAGTGGTATAAGCGAAGCCGGGGGATGGGCAGTGCACGACTCTGCCAAAATATTGCAATACATTGAAAGCTCGAGACAAAAAAAAGCATTTGTTGGCTCTAAAGCAAACACGCAACGTTAGCATTTAGCGCGCTTCTTTTCTTGGAAAGAGTGAACTGAGCGGAGCAAAGCAATAAAAATAAAGGGTGAATGCAACAGAAGGTCGGTCAGATTCTTAATAATTTCTGGATACTGTTCGCTAGCGACTTGGACATGTTTAATCCCAAATTCTCTACTTTGATGGCAGATGCAGCTTTTGACGCCCCCGTGCTATATGACCGTATGGACGCCGCAAGGAAACGGTCAATAAAACTGGTAAACCTTGTGATCGAAGCTGGGCGCAAAAAACCAAGAGAAGACTCCTGTATGCTATGAATACAAAATAGCGTCAAGTCCATATGTACATGGGAGAGGACAAGGACGATCTTGGGCAGCAAAACGCAACATGAGGTTCTTTGCGATAGAGACAAGCGGTCTGTGGACCAGGGAACCCGACGTCCGCAACCAACCAGTATGGTAGCATCGATTAGATGTTGCCATAGTCGTGAATGAAAATGTCGTACAGTCTATGCTAGAGGACGGTAGGGCAGCGTTTTCAACTTCATTCATGTGAAGAAGTTGTGTACTCCTTCAAAATTGTATCTTTGCTCCAACGCAATCTGGGCCAGCCTGGCTTGGTCGCATGTTGTCTGTAGGCGTGAGCGGATTGTACCAACTAGCTTCGAGCACCAGCCAGCCTTTTCAGGTAGCAATGGTCTCCGGAGCATGCCAATGGGACCGTAACGAAACCTGATCGATTTGATATCAACAAAGAAATCAAACGCTATACCAGAACAGTATCCCGAACGACATGAACAAGATCTAGATGCGTGACGTAGGCCTTCCGACGTTTAGCAAAGTACTTGATGCAGGCGGAGGGCGTCATATACATTCTGCGGATTGCGTTCCTCTCCTTCCTACTCGGAATCCACCTAGTGAGCAGAACGGCATCAAGCTTCCTAGTCATAAGTCTAGTGACGTTGAAAGCGTCTGTCTCCGTATGCCCGGCTTGAATAACTGACGGAAGGTAGCGCTCCTCGACATCGAAATACTGCAATAGACTTGGCACAAATTCGCGGACGGTCCTGATGAGAAGCGGAAGGACGTCTGTATCCGGGTTAGCGTTGAAGAGTGCAAGAACGTTGTGAACCTCGAGGAACATATCGTTGATGTAGGCTGCGTGACTGGCCATTTTCTGGCGGAGATCCTGGAGATCGTGGGCGGCCCCACCGCGGTAGATCCACGGCATCAGGACTGTACTTTCGAAGGCAAAATAGTCTGCTAGTAAGGCGTCAAACTTGGGCCACCAGTCAGCTAGCGCGCGCATGCGCAGGAGTAGGTGCGGGGCAGTGGAAGAGAGCGAAGCGAGCATGGCGGTAAGATCGGCGAGCTCTGCGCGGAGTGCGTTGTGCGGAAGAGCGAGAACGTCGAAATACCATGTAGATGGGAAGGGAGCTAGCTTGAGGTTAACAGGAGGTGACAAGCGCGGGGAAGAGGTCGAGAGCGTCGGCGACGGAGAAAGAGAAGGGCGGGGAAGGGAGTGGGTAGTGTTTAGGCCCAGGTCCGAAGGTCTTGGGCGGCGGGAGGAAGTGGAGTTCGGGTGGGAGGAAAGGGAGGAGAGAGCGCGTCGGAAGGCCGTAGCGCGGGAGGGGAGGGACGGGGAGGGGGTGGGAAAGGAGTGGTCATCAGCAGGATGGGGAGGTTTGGAGGGAATATTGCGCATTGCGGCAAAAGAGATGGCTTCGATGGAGGCCTCTGCGAAGTCGTCCTCGAAGAGGTCGAAGGAGGAGGGGGACTTGAGGTGTGGAGTAGAGGACATGGTTGGAGGTGGAGACAGGGGGCGGGATCGCCGGGTGAGTAGGGAACCCAGTGGATAGAATGCCGATGGGAGGAGTGCGGAAGAAGGAGGACAATGGGCTGAGGGAGGAGGGCGGAGGACGAAGGGAGGAAGGAAGGAGGAGGAGGAAGGAGAAGGACGAAAAAAAGATTTGGGAGGGAACGGACAGGCTCAACGGCAATGTGGGCAGTCTTGGCGCCCTGGGGCGGCCGGGAAGCGCCTAGCTGCAGATCACCCAATTTTCTTACGTCATATCCGTCCGTGATCCAGCCTACACGTGGTGGCATCCCGATTCGCAGCGAATGGCACGCAGGTCTGCTGCGCTCCGCCTCGCGCACTGCATCCCACCGCACAGTCCCCCTTCTCCTTCTGTCGCCTCCGTCTGGCCTGACAAACTACCACTCGTGCTGCTCAACGTTTCAAGCAACCTCGTCTTTATTCATTGTATCTTTGCCAAAACCCCGCAGAAAGCATGGGAGGAGGGTACGTCTTTCCGCCGTTTATATGTCTCCCCACCTCTTCCCAGAAATGGAACGCATCCCATCCCCGTGCAACTAACAAGCGACACTTCACACCCTTCTTCCAATCCCTTCTTCCAATCCCTTCCTCCACAGAAACGGAGCCAAGTCCGCAACCAAGCGCGTGCGCAACGCGGCCAAGGCTGGGAAAGGTGCAAAGGGCTCCCAAAAGCTAACAAACGAAAAGGCTATGACCATCGTCTGCAAAGTTTGTCGTACTGTATGTACATTTCATATCTTTACACCTCACTTGCTCACCTACCCACCCACCCACTCGCTCGCTCACCTTATGTCATCATCTAAAACCTTTTCTCTCTTTCCAACACTCACCCTACAGGGATTTATGTGCACCATGTCGGAAGTCTCGCTCCGCCAACACGCTGAGAACAAGCACCCGAAGCTCAACGTGTCAGACTGCTTCGACCATCTCCAGTAGCTTTCAATCATCCCGTTCCCTTGGCTTTTATCTTTGATTCGCAGCCAACGTATCGATTTTCTTTGATAAAATGTCCAGCGCTGTCATCAGTGCTTTTCGCGGCGACAAGGCCCCAGTAGTCTCCGCCACGAACTCGAAACGTTCTGGTTCGGGGTTGTATTTCACAACCTCACTGGCCGTGCCTCCCGCCTTCAACGCAAGCTCTCCTGCTTTCCGTGTCGTATCGGGTGTAATCGCAATTCTTCCTAACTTGAACGGAGTTTCATACTCAAGCCATCCTACGCTTTCATCCATTTTCAGCAGCCCTTGAGACGCCTCAAGTAGCTCTGCCTTTTGTTCTGTCGTAAACAAGGCGTTGATCCGTTCCAGTACAAGTTCTACGGCTGGTGGAACTATCCGGTATGCCACCGTGCACATCGGCGACCATTTTGCATGATCCTTACCCAAGCCCTTGCGTGCTATCATCGTCATGTTTAGCTTTTGTCCTCGCGACAGCTTGGCGATCAGAATCTCACTCTCTTTCTCACCCCTTCGATGATCGCTGTCATCCCCAGAGTCGTGGACCGGCAACATTGAATGAGCCGGACCTGGACCCTCTACGTCCGTGCACTTCACGTGGCGTGATGTCACATTTGTTACCGTACTGTCCAATGGCGCGGTAACCTTGAGCTCGAAAGAAACTGAGCAGTTGAGACAATAGTCCTCACACTCTTCACAGTCACGGCTGTACTCTATTTCGTCCACCCGCGAAGAATATAACGGAATGAGGCCTAGACGATGCGTGATATACTCATCGTGAAGAGGTGATGAGTTTTCAATAACAGTGACCTGCTCAATCGCCATGGTAGGTACCTCCGCTATCATCACACGCCGGATTGCATTCGCCATTGAGACGTCTGTATCCGATAGGTCAAACTTCATTTCAAAACGAGATCTCTCCTTTGGCGTCTCCTTGACCACCAGAGAGGGTAGTCGACCGTACGGCATTTTGCTTCAAGCGAGGGTTCTCGACCGGGAATAGCACAAATCTCTTGAGTGGATGCAGATTTAGTAAGTTGACCAAAGCAGAGGCGTAGGGAGAGCGGGGTTGCGCTCTTGAGAGGGCTTCTTCAACACCCTAAATCGAAATGGAGTAAACGTCTTGAAGTGATTCCAAATGAAAATCGAGAAATGAGTGTGTCCAATTCCCAATTTGTTAAAACTGCACCAGCACGCAGGGCTAGACTCAAGTTTTGGAGGACGCGGCAGTGAAATCTAATCCGTTCACGGGTGCGCGATCCGCTACAGCAGTGGGAGTGTGATTAGAGATAAAACCTCCTTATAGACTCCAGAGCAAAGCGAATACTCTTGAACAGCGATGACGAACGGGAATTCCCCTCGCAGCCTGGCGACGTTCAAAATTTATCAATTTTGAACGTCATATACTGAACTGTATCGTACGTCCTTCTGTAATGTCTACTGTATTGATATTAAAATTAAAATGATCCTTCAATGGAAGACTTTACTGTACATACTGTACTGCCTTTCGTGAAGCGGTGCCAGAAGTTGTTGTTCGTGTTGGGACAAGCACAACCTTTGACGCCTTTCGAACGTCTCTAACCAACCGGTGGTTACGCACATCAGCGAAATGGTGGTTTCTCACGTTTCGGTCAGTAGTGCTTTTGGTGACGAAGGGTGGTCATCTCTTCGTGCTACATACGGTAGGTACTCTACAACTAAACTGGAGCATATGAATTAGTTTGAAATGTAAAGCATTCCGATATGCTTGACCTTTTACGCGGATTAGACCTAGTATGAACATTGCGAACCGAAGCTTCGTGGGAGTTCAGAAAGGCTCGCACTCTGACACGGGAGTGGATTTCGCTGGACGCGGGCATTCCTCTCATGGGCATCACCACTGTCTTAACCCTGTGCTCCTTTTTTGTGACGGCTATTTTTTGCCCCAGTCGGGTTATTTTCCTCCTGCTTCGGTCTTGTTGAGCGCTACGTCCCGAGAGTAGGTTCGTTGAACGCAGAATTGTGTTGTCGTTAAGAAGATATACGTTTTGTCTCCAGGAGACCCGTACTTTTCGAGTAGTGTCCTCCCGAAAAGTGTGGGGTGGTCCTATTTTGTGATCGGGGCATAAACTTCACAAAATGCACACAAACGTCTCAAAATTCTCACAAGTTTTGTGAATCTCGCTTTGTTTTTATGAATCTCACTTTATTTTTGTGACGTCAACATCTCGAAGTGCTCTTCTGTTGACTGTTTTGTGATTCACACACAAATTGTTTTATGACTCTCACACCATTGTCTCACAATCATCTCCAACACCAACAAACCATCACAAACCCATCTAAAAAGCATAGCTGATAGCCTTGTTCTACAGACATTTTACGGCCTTCACTCTCGGGCTTGTGAAGCCTGCCTTATTCGTCGAGGAGTGCGTCGCTCAGAGTCAAACTCCCTCTCATGGACAGGAGAGGGCCCATGTCGCCTCAGTGTAGGGCGAGAATGCCAGACCGTCCGGCAGCTGCAGCAGATAGCTTGCCTACATGTAGAACACCACTGCACCTGGCGCGAGCCCTTTCTAAGTGTCTTGGGTCGCCCGTCTTTTGTCCCTCTTTTGACCCAACTACAGAGTACGCAGTAGGTTTGGGTCCCACTGACCTTCTCGTGCAGTAAATTCCGGTTCAACCTACGCAGTTGCGAACACGAAGGGAAGGGGAAGTGTCTCTGGAAATTAGCCGTAGAGGGCTGGAAAGGAAGATCTTTTTTGTGTGACGTTGTTCAGTTTGTTTGCCTTTTGAGATGGAGAGAGCCTTTTATATGTGATCTTCGTGATGCCCTCACACAACTCACACAAAGCCATCACAAAATGCACACTGCCATCACAAAATGCACACTGTCAGTGTGAGAGTTTTGATTTCAAGGTTGACGTTTGAGAGTTTTGAGATGCGTCTCACAAAACCATCACAAAAGATTCACGAAAATGTGTGATGTTTGAGACGATTTTTGTGATGATCACAAAACGTTCTCAAAAAGTGCTACAATTCAATAAATATTCACAAACCATGTGTGACGAATAAGAAGATGGAGTGAGACGAATGAGATGACGGCGGCGAAAAGAGCAAAACTCTCACAAATCGTCACACAAATCGTCTCACTTTTTGTGACGCCCTAAATCGTCACAAACCGGAGCACAGGGTTAAGGATCTTCATTTTGACTCGCATGAGGTCGCCGTTTGCCGGATCGCCGAAGTCAAATCTTGCGTTGCGGACAATTTCGAGCAAACGCAAGCCCCGCAGAATGGGTTTAAACGGCCCAATCTGAGGCCACTTCACAAAGCCGCAACCGCCCTATGCGAGCTTCTGTGCATGCAGCTGCTCACGCAAGCGCGGGCACCTATCGTTAGTGCGAAATCCCCCCGAAACTTTACTGTTCAAATTCAATCTTCACGCTAGAATCTAAATGACCATCTCATCCCCGAGCAAGTCCTCGTCTTCAACGCCAGAGAGATATGCAGAGATTATTTCATCAGCCACTCTAGAAGCCGACATGTCGCGAAGAGCTGCGATGTTTTTGAGACGCTCCATGATTTCGTCGCTGACGGTTAGTCGTGGCCTTGGCTTGGCAGTAGACTTCTTGCGCGCAGTTCTCGCCTTCTCCGCAGTGGAAGTCACCTTCTCGGTAGTAGAGGACCCAAGGGGCTCGGAGACTTCATTCGAAGACGCGTCGGCGGATGTTTCGGTGTTGGGTGCCGACACCGTCGTCGTGGCGTCTGGAGGTGAGAGGACGACAACCTTCGCTTCTTCCTTCCGCTCCGGGCGTGCCTCTACGAATTCAGAATCACCAAGGACAGTGATTTTGGCGGCACCTCGTGCCACTGTGACGCGCTTCTTCGGTATTACAACGGGTGCTTCGTAAGTCAATGTGGGAGGCGCTCCGTTCACCTGAATCGGCGCAGAATTGAAATGCTCAGCAAACGTAGCAATATCGGACTTGCCCATGCGATGACAGAAATCGCCAAAGGCTTCTCCCGTTGTAGACTTCTGCTGATACATGGTCAGAACTGGTGTCAATGTGCCTTCCAGATCCACATCCTTCACTCTATCCAGGTACGGCCAAGCTAATCTTGTCTGATGCGGACATCCTCCGAGCCATAATTGATATGACTTCTGGCCCGAACCGACCAACCCGAGCTCTGCCATGTAGGGTCGGGCACAGCCGTTAGGGCACCCCGTCATCCTTATAGTGACGGGCACATCAAGCCCATTCTTCTTGAATAACGTATCCATCCGAGCAACCATGTCCGGCATGACACGTTCTGCTTCAGTTATTGCCAACCCACACAAAGGCATCGCCGGACAAGCCATAGAAAGTCGTTTGTTGATGAGATATTCATCCGCAGTTCTGACGTTGTGTTCTTTCAAAATGGCTTCAATGCCGTTCTTCTGATTAGGAGTAATGTTCTTTAGGATGATGTTCTGGTTCGGCGAAACCACCATGTCAAATTCATAAGCATCGATGATGCGGCGGAGGGCAGTCCTCAGCTTGAAATCAGCTTCGTCCTTGATACGACCGTTTTCGATAAATAGGCCGAGAAATAGGTTCCCGTCTCCTTGCTCATGCCAGCCCAACCAGTCCATGTATCTCCAAGGCTGAATTTCTCGGAAAGACTCGAATGGCTCACCGAAGTACGTTTCGACCAGGGTGCGGAACGAATCTATACCTAGCTTGTCCACAAGGTACTTCATTCTGGCGTTGGCCCGGACGCTTCGATTGCCGTGGTCCCGCTGAGCGGCGACAATAGCCTTACACGCTTCCCACAATTTATCCGCCGGGACATATCCTAGGTGATCACCAGTGCGAGCAAATGTGGTGGCCTTGCGATGAGTTCGACCCATACCGCCTCCAACGATGATGTTATAGCCAACTACTTTTCCAGCAGCATCCGGTATGCAAACAATTCCGATATCCTGGGTGTAAATGTCGATGGAATTGTCACCGGGAACAGTGACCCCAATCTTGAACTTTCTTGGTAGGTAGGTTTCACCGTAAATGGGTTCTTCCTTGCCATTATAGACGACACCGTTGCCGTTATCAAAACGCATGATCTCTTGCACAGAATTCATGTCAAGATCCTTCTTCCAGAATTCCAGGCTGGCAGCCTTCTCCCCATCTAACCAAATCTCCGAGAAGGCTCCTGTCTGTGGCGCAAACAGTTCTCCAAGCATAGCGGAAACAAAACGGGCATTTTTATACAGCTCGCTGGTGAGAGGAGCTGGCGTGCACATTACGTTTCGAGATAAATCTCCGCAAGCACCAATACAAGACCCCCCTGCGTTCATGATAGCGGAGAATACAGGCTTCAGGTCACTCTTTAGAACGCCATGGATTTGCCAGGCACATCGAGTAGTGGCGCGAAGAGTATTGTTGCCATATTTCGTTGAGATGTCGTCTAGAGCCTGGTATAATGCGGCGGGAAATTCGCCAGCGGGCATTTTGAGACGAAGCATAAACTGATACTTCTTCTGCTGGCCGGATGCACGTTTGTCGCGATCGTCTTGCTGGTATGAACCGTGAAACTTCATAATCTGAACGGCATTTTCGGTGATGAAAATTTCGTCATTTTGTAGCTGCTCCGCCAGGGGGAAGCGCAACTGGTTTGAAGAAACTTTCAATCCTTCGACCTTGGACAACTTTTTGGGAGGAGAGGAATCTGCACGCGGCTTCGCGGCAACTGCCTATTGTATTTTGCGGAAGACATGGCCAAAAGTGGCGACAAGTGCGACAAAAAAACATGTTAGCAAGGTGCAACCCAAGTCGAAGTCCAATGCGAAAGGAAGGAAAAGAAGTCTATTTGTCCGCGGTATGGTTTTACTCGAGCCGGAATTGCGAGACTAAGCCGCTGCAACCAAGTCATAGAATATACGGCAGGAAGTCGCTCTACAGTCTCACGCACGGGCATGTACGCCATTGATATAACGTGCCCAGAGAGCGAATGGGATAAGCAAATGCAGGACGAGGACGGCCCGACGTGAGGAAACGTCGAACGTCTCAACCCAGCATCGGCGCCTCGTCAAGCACACAACCCAGACTGATCAATTTGAGGAAAAGCGCGCGCATGCAAGGGGCGTGTACAAAGAGAAGAGTGATGTGCAGACTTACGGTGATGACGGACGGGACATATGGGAAGGCTGGGACGGGGAGGGAGGGGAGTGGGAGACAGGAAGATGGCCGCGTGTGAACGCCACGTCCGTTGAAAGCGGTGGAGGTTGCTCCCAGGGGGATGAAGGCTGCCTGCCCGCGCATTGCTAATTGCTTGAGCGTGGGTTGGTGGGCCGGGCTTTTATACTAGAAAAGGAGAAGAGCCTCGAGGTTGTTGCGTGGGGAGGAACGGAGGGCCACGGAACCGTTGGCGGCGGCGGCGGCGGCAGCAGCAAGGGCGACGGCGGCGGTGACGGCGACGGCGACGGGAGAGTTGATTCGGATCCTGAGAATGATCCGTCTGCGCAGCGCCGCGTTTTGGGGAGAAAGCAAGGATTTTATGTAGGTAGAGAGGAGTAGGCAAGGGCCCGTCAGGAAGGTGCAGATGGGGAGATTTAGACAGCGATCCTTGCAAGAAATGCAAAAATGGGGAAAAGAAAAGAAAATTAGGGTTTCCCTTGTGTGAGCTGGCTCAGCGTCCCATGCGTTTTTTTATTCTAAATTATGGATAAATTTTAGACGTTGATTGAGAGGATGTTCGTGAGGCCACTGGTGCGGGCACATGGGCCGCCCTAAGCATCAGCATTAATTAGCGGTTAATTCTCGAGGCCTGAATTTGCCTCGTTGGCGGAGCTCAAATTGTTCCTCTCACATTAGCCGCAATTGGTCAGAATGTGGTAACGAATATCTTCGCCACTCACACGTGTGCAAGATCAGAACTCCTCAGGCACAGCTGTCCTGACGCATTCGGCCAATTGGCGGTCGCTGTGTGGATTGCTCCGGCACCCACATCCGAAACCATTTCTACTTTCACTACACGTAGACAGTCGTGTAACAGGCACAATCCATCCAAGTTCACGTTTCCACGTCGTACACGTCTATATGTATGATTTCGGACGACAAGGAACTCCGCACCTCTTCACACGACCGCCCCACTTCACACGACCGCACCAGTGGTCATTATTTTCTGTAGGAACAAATACCTCATGACTTCTAATTCTCTGACTTGTCGCTGGATTGTTCACATTTAAGACTTTTCAGTTCCAAGGCATTTTTGCAATACCCTGTATGACTTTTCTTTCCGTTTTAATGCACTGCGACACTGAGATATCCACGCATGTCGGGATGCAATGCTCTGCTGCAGTTATTTATTTCATCCATCAACACCTGAGCAAAAGTATTATTTCCATTCCGTCCCCTGGCCTTCTCCCAAGCACATCAGATCAGTTTAAAGTAAGGTTCGCATTTTTGAAATGAGACGGGGCAACTTTTTGCCGCACATCCAACGTTGCGCGCCACTCATGTAAATTGTCCCACCACCGCCGCCGACTTTCCACTCTCTTGACTACCACGACCAATTTTATTCAATTTCAAACAGATGCGCACAAATTCGTTCCTGCACTTGCGAAAAAGACTTCCGCATGCCCCTCCCATTCAACGTTTGTGGTCTGAATTAAACAAACATTCGCGGTTCCCCGTCATATCATTCAAGTTCGGACGACCGTCTCGATTTATTGCTCGAATCCTTCAACCATTGGCAACCTCGAGACTTCACTTCGCAACCGCTATGCCAACCGTGACAAAGTTGTGTTCGCGGTGGACGCCGACTCGTGCTTTTAAAAACGACCGCCACAGAACTCCTTACTTTTTATTCTTTTCATAACTCTCTTTCTCATTCTGTCTTGCCCTGGATAACTAAATACCGCCACCAAGCGTGATCATATGCTTCTGAATACCGTATATGCCATGGAATAATAGTTGCGTGTCATATGTTTATTATACATCTCCTAGCTATATGCGCTCTCCAAAATGCAACCATATCAGTTCACATTTTAACCCGTGACTTCTTGTCCACATCTCACTTTGTTCCCCATAAATATATACGTATCCTTCAAAATCCAATGTAATGTAATGTAAAAGTGGAAAAACTGTGAACTAAAAACCTGAGAGGCCCCCTTCTCGAAATGCCATCGCTTCATTGCCATCCAAGATTTCCCTCCCTACCTCGTGGATGACTTGCTTTTGTGCTTTCCTAAAAGATTGAGTCGGTAGTTGCGCTGATGTCTTTTTGAGGTGTAACCTTCGCTCGCGTCGTCACATAACGAGAAAGTTAGGGCACAAAAGCCTACCAAGTCCGTTATATCCTCTTCATACGGCTCTTCAAGTTTATCCCATGTTGACGTGCTGGTCGAACCCCGCTCATGTCAGCGGCTGCACCCCCTCTTTCATGAGTACTATCACTATTCCATTTCGAAGAGCAGCACCACAGGAGGAGCGATTTTTATACCCTCTATAAAGTTTACTTTACTGTTCTGTCATGAGCTATCTTCATAGGTGCAGCTCCAGGTGCGCCCGATAACCCGAGTAGCCAATCTGTTCATAGAATATAATCACCCTTTTACGTGACAATATCGCAATCGGGAGGAAAACGCTTCAGTCCCATAATTAGTAAATTTCATATCGAACTACAATCAGAAGGGCAAACCTCCCCCTGTTGATCAATTTTACTACAATATGAGTGGTGGCCAGGCTCTACGTCGATCTACACATAATCGAATATCACAGAAACTTTGAAGAAGATCTGAATCTAAATATCGATATATATATCAAGAGGCCATACGTGAGGCGCAATTACTTCCGTACTATCAGCAGCATCAGGTGATTCAGAGACTATTACAGCATTAAGAGCGTTAGATGGCCCAGAAGGTCTCACGCCATCACTCATGTCAGGAGGTTTGCCAACTTCTGTTCCGTAAACTGCAGCTGCATCTGGCTCGGGAGTCATGCATGGCGAAGGAGAAGATACAAGTGTGTCTAGAGAGAGGGATACCGCGACGGGACACTTGAAAATCACCCTAGCCGATGTTTCATCCCCATCACTAAGGACACACGTAATGACTGCGGGCTTTCGTGGATATGGATCCCAGGGTCTCATCTGCCCCCTGATTGTGAACGGTCTAACGAACTCGCGATGATACAAGGTTCCATTCAAATAAAAAGAAGCGGACACGATAGAAGCCGACGTGGAAGAATCTGGGACACACTCAATTGTAAACTGTTGAAATTGGGCTGTCGGACAACACGTCACGTTACCGGATAGTTGTCTTCCATAAATCTGATAAGATTCTGCAAGGCTCGCTTTGACTATACGCATCGTGGCTGACTGACATATTGTGACGTTGGTCACAATGAAGATGAGAAGCATAAATGAAGACTCCATCATGAATCAAGTATGGAGGACGGGCCGAAGCACTTGGATGGAAGCGGGACTGAATAATAGTGAGATGGAATCGCGGTAACATTTGGAAGGCAGAATGCAGTATTCGGCGGTTTCCAGCGCCGGTCACTTATGTATGTGATAGGAAACTGGTCATGTTCGCTCCATAGGCATGCCTGGCAAGAAGCGATAAGAAAGAACTAGACTGCTTTGTTCGAGGTCGTACGCACTTCGAAGCAACTAGGCTTCGGTAAAAAATTACCTGGACGACCCCGGTTGCATGTACTTTTGATTGACTCACCTGACGTTCGCAATACCGATTAATCGAAGAGTGCACACTTCCCTCAGCATAGCTTCACGGTGTTGCTGCACACGGCTCTTTTCCGCTTTTGTTCAGCACGCACACGCTTGTAATATGAGGGTGTTGAGAGATGACGTGGAGCAGAAATGTGTCTGGGACCCGGCCATGCACCTTGTGTGTTGATGTTTGCCTCAAACCAGCCAATCGTAATAGAACATTTCATGTGAGTGCGAAGTTGCATCAAGTCCGAAACCCATCAAAGAAAATACGACCTCAGGTCTTCTTCTGAGCACTACACTTTTGCGCAGCTGCCCCAAAATACTTATCCATTATAATGTTTGCTCTGGGCGTTCTTCAGATTCAGTTGTGGACGTACCCAATGGATTGGCGAGACAAAACCAGGATTGCGCACTAGTCATTGATGCAACATGAATTGCAACAAAGGCTGCTGGTCCAGGGTGGTATCGGATAGAGTGCTACGGTTTTGGGTTCCCCCAGTAAACTATACTCTACTTCTTCATCGCCCTGAGGTTTAGTGTCTATCCGAGCGGGGCACGTTCTCATGCGAGGACAGCTCTTTTTTGCAAAATATATATAAATTAAATTGAACATTCAAACAGCTACCTTGAGCACTATTTCCTTAACGTGCTTGCTTTCAGCAATAGTATCTTGTAGAACACTGGGATGAAAGCTTTGAATATAAGAATATCATGCAGGTTGAGTACCAAAATTGCCTTTTTAAACTGGCTTTTTTGGTTTTGAAGTTATTTTACATGCGGTTTGGTGATTTAAAAAAGCTTCTTTTCCAGACATATCTATATCTAAAAACAACCAGGAAGAACAAGCAATTCTCACAAAGTTCTTTCTGGCGCCAAGTCAGAAGTCAAGTACGACTACAGTACTCGGTTTGTTTGGGCGGGGGGCCGTGTGGTATCCCACCCAAGATTTGTAATTTGTACAGCACCCGACGCCGTGGGTTCATTACAGGCGAGCGCCTATACGTGAGCCTTAAAGGCGGACGGACTACACGTGTGCGATACAGACGGACGAACTACACGTGAAGAGTTCTGGTTTAGTGTGACTATCAGTCCTAGGACATCCGCAAAGCGGGTCAGTAAACAACCGGAACTATGAAACAATAAAACCCAACAGAAAAACAATAACAAACAAAGAACAAAACAAATAATCAAAGATAAAAAACAACCATCAGAGAGATAGACATGTGAGAGAGCAAGGATGGCGAGCAGGGCGGGTGGGTGGGAAGAGAAATAGACATGCCGGGGACGGCGGGGGTTGCGAAGGATACCGCGGGAGCTCTCTTAAGTGCAACGCGGAGATTCGCAGCGGCAACGCTCGGCATGCTGACAGAAATTACACCAGCTCGCTATCCTTTGATAATTCTTCACCAGCATACACTCCGTGTACACAAACGCGAACATTGCAAACCGACAACCTGCATACATTACATCCCAGTGGTTGTATATGACGTGGTAGAGTAGTAATAGCACAGTACAGTGCATTGCATAGTACAGTGCTGGCAAAAACTATAAGGCACCTGGTACTTTTGCATATTCCTAGAAAAGTTTTTATGCTATCATAAAACCCTTTGCCTTATTAAAGGCCAATGAGGCGCTGATACTGCCCATGCAGTTATTGTTTAAAATAATCTATGGTGGTGGACGCTATCGCGTCTTATTCCCCAAACGCGTGGCAAAAACTATAAATACAGTTGCATACACAGAGGTCTAATGCGCTCGGAACTAGACAAGGAACAGTGTTTAATAGCATATCTTCTTCCCCTTGGCGTACACAACATCAACGCACCGCTTCTGCATAGATTCAGTAAGTTTTCGGAGCGTATTGGGTGCAATATTTGCCCAAGCTTCCATGATACACTCAGTAAGAGACTCAATATCTTCAAATTGCCTCTGTTGCGCATAAACGGACCTCACGAGTATACCCCACAGATTCTCGAATGGATTCAGGTCTGGCGAGTACGCAGGCCACTCTAGCAGCGATATACCGTTGTCCGAGAGCCATTGTTTCGCCAGCAGTGAACGATGGCAAGGTGCGCCATAAACGTCCAAGTAATTGGTAGATCCTCCGCAAATGGTAGCAGATGGTTCTCTAGAGTTGTCACGTACTTCGCTCCATCCTGCTTTCCTTCCAAAAAACAAGCTCTGATATCCTTGAACCGGCAAAGCATGCCCAAACCATAACACTCGAACCCCCAATTTGTCTCTTTGAAAACCACTCCTTCTCCTTTCTCAAGTCATGCCATTTATACGCCAAACCGCCTGTTCTATCCAAGTTGAACTTCTTTTCATCGGACCAGACGATTTGGGACCATTTTGCATTGCTCCACACCATTCGTGTCATCGCCCACTTGAGCCGAGATTTTTCATGACGCTCCCGCATCGCTGGTGTCCGTGCAATTTGCTTGTATCGCAAATGCTCGGCTGCAGCGATAACCTGGCGTACACGGCGAGCTTTGACACTCAGTTGCAATGCTTTCACAATCCCTGCTGACCCCAAATCTCCTTTGGAGCCTTCCCGTAAAATTCTTCGCTTATCAGCCTCCGTTAATTTTGGCGGCCTTCCTCCCGCATTTTTGCGATTGTACCGCTTTTGATCGCGCAAAAAGTTTGTGACAACTGTGCGGGATCGTCCCAGCTCGCGGGCAATAGCAGATAGGGAGATACAGTTGGAGTGATGGACAAGGATTTGTCCTTTTTCAAAAGTTGTGAGCCTTGTGTTTCGAGGCATGATTGTGCGTGTTTTGTTTTAGCTTGGGGAACCGCAGTGGCTCGTAGCGATGAAGAAGAGATAGTTTGCACTGTGTAAAGCTTTATGGCGCGAAAGGAGCTCTTTGAGGGGTCTTTTGTTGCACGTGTATGCAACTGTATTTATAGTTTTTGCCACGCGTTTGGGGAATAAGACGCCATAGCGTCCACCACCATAGATTATTTTAAACAATAACTGCATGGGCAGTATCAGCGCCTCATTGGCCTTCAATAAGGCAAAGGGTTTTATGATAGCATAAAAACTTTTCTAGGAATATGCAAAAGTACCAGGTGCCTTATAGTTTTTGCCAGCACTGTAGCGTACAGTATTAAAGTGGAAGGAACGACAAAACTGGGGAGCGTGTGCTTGCGGCCCTCAAGAATAACCTGCACGGGACGATCTGCTTCTTCCAATTTTTCCTCAGTTCTGGCCAAAAGGGTCGCTGCCCCCCCCCCCCCTTTACTCTGAGGGCGTCCTGCCTCAGCCCCTAAGTACGTCGACCTCCGGCGGCCGAGCAGTACAGTAGTGATCCACTTCTACTTTGGATCACTACAGTGGAGTACCTCTACTGTACTCCACCGGGGAGTAATCCGCATAGCGGCACACGTGGCTGTGCTCCTGCCACCTGTACTCGTGGCTGAGCGCGCACCACGTGTGCTAGCTGGGACTCCCCCGGCTGACTCTCCTATTACACTAATTTCTACGCCCCTACAGTAGGACCTCCAAGTCTACTCTACCCTATCGGGACGTAATACGTACGGCGGTACACGTGGCCATTCCGCCGCCACCTGTCACCCGTGGCGGTACATGCACCCCGTGTACAAGCTGAGTTGTCCCCTGCCTTTCCAGTATCGTCTGATCACCCCTACAGGATCTCCCTCCAGGTCGTTAAGTTTACCGACACCGGTTGGTACCCGATCTCCCTCAGCTGTGCAGCATCGAGAAATTTTTGGTCTGCGACCGGAGGTTGTGAGGAAGCGATGGCCACGAGTCCCGAGAGGTTTGGAGAGGTTGGAGGTTCCTCTATGGATTCCGGTTGGCACGCCACTTGTCGTGACGTATTCAAATACCTCCCAATTGGGAGTTGACTTTGCAAATGCAAGCATTGACGATTGCCTCGGGAAATTTTTCTACACTGATTTTACCTGGGTCGCTGCAACGGAGGCCATCCATGTGGACCGACACGGCCGCATGCCGCGGTTTTCGACTCCGTCAATTGCGGCATTTCGAAGAGTTGGCGTTGTTGCCATTTGTTTTGGTCACGATGACCACGTGGTCGAATCGGAAGCACTCCTTTACGAAATGGAAGTCATTCGATGGAAATGCGTGTGGCGGTGTAAGGGAAATTTTCCAAAGTATAACCATTAGGGTACCCCGGTACACAGCTCTGATGATTATGTCGAGTTCAAAGGGTAGCGATGGGCAACAAAAATGCCGAATGAGATGTACATTGAAGAAGAATATGACGGACGTCCATGAGAACAAATGCCATCTACAAGTGTGCTGCATACCGGGTCCCTTAACCACTGCGTGCCAGATCCGGTCCTGGAACCATGGGAGCGCGTTCGTGAGAATTCAGGCTTTGACGACAGGCGGGTGAAAAGGAATCGCCGGGGTGTGGGACACCATAGCCGAGCAGACGGTTGGGGTGCCTCTACCAGCACTGCATCAGTGCCGGTAGAGGCACGCGAACCGTCTTCAACGACTCCTCTAGGTGGCCATCCTGGCACTGTCGAGAGTAGCATTTCACAAATTCGATCACTGCTCGTAGGGCGAGGCTTGCAGTCGAAGTTGGCATCTGCTGGTGTCGTACTGCCGTGCTCTGCCAGGGGTGTGGTCGACATCATTGAAACCATAACCCGCCCATCTGCTCCGCGGAAGGAAAAGTTCCCGCGTCCGAGCGTCTAGCGGAGGCTGGCCTCTCGGAATGGCCTTCCCCGAACGCTTCGAGAGAGACGGGACGTAAATCCTCGACGAGCACCAGTCGACACTATAGTTGGTCGACTAGTGCTCGGAGGTTCTCCAGAGACTGAGACGCGTTGAAACCTCCCTTTGCGAAGGGATTGTAGTTATTCCATACAGCCCGTATATATTGCGTCCGATACGTCAATTCGAAGCGACTTCCGGACCTCCTCCATGTATTTCGCGATTCGGTAGTACATCGCGCGGGCGCGTTCTTCTTAAAATTCGGGCGCCGGGTCGCGGTCACGAAGACCTGCGGCACCGTGGCCCACTTGAACGCTGAACGAGGTCGACGTCATGTTCGCCGCCTCGGATTGAATCGTGGGCGCGGAACCTTCTTCCATCTCGTCGCGTACAGACGCGGAGTCGAACGATAATTTTCTCGCGATAATCGCGTGGCCGTCTAGGTCGGGAGACAAATGTAGCATAAACCCCGCGTCGCATTGCGGGTCTAGCTATGGTTCTTCGAAGACTTGTGACGCGAGAAAAAGCACATAACACACACACCAGAAAAGAACGCGGGCTGTGGTAGCGTGGTTGAGCGGTGGGGAGCGGACGCGAACAAAGTACCCGTTTGAGCGAATCGAAGCGCTCGACGCCACGGGGCGGCGCTAGTAAGCGTTCTAGCACCGACGGGCGGAGGCGGATCCAGCTCGCTCGCGTACGTTCGCGAACGCTACCAGCGTTAGTTTCTGGTTACCGCGCTCGCGTAAAGATAAGGCGTGTAGAATATGCAGACGGGGTTAGACCTTGGGCGGAGGATCTGGTACCAAGCCCGTGCTTGTCCTTCCCCTCCGCCGTGGGCTCCCTGTGGTTTTAATATACAACCAATCGCGTCAATCATACAGGGCTACAGTACAGTCCGTACTATACTGTAGCGTGCTACAGTGCCAAGCTACTGTACTCAGCCACTGTGGCACTATCAGCCATCCGGGCTGACAGTACACGTGTGTGCGCGCTCGGGCACGTGGCAACGGTCGTGCCTTACATCGCATAATCTAACCCTAAATCTACTTTGCCAATATGCTACACAATTGTCATTATGCAATGGAGTTATTTTGAAAGAGCTTCCAATGCTACGCCGTACCGAACTAGGGAGGGTTTGCGTCCAGTTTGTCCTTCCGCTAGAACTGTAGAGGCATCGTCGTCCGAGGCTGTATCACCATGAACTTGATCGTATTTTGTACCGTTAAATGCCCTAAAATTCCCCTATCCAAGATGGATTGCTTGACAAAGAGCCGACAGCTCTTACAGAACAGACGGCGTCTGTTCTGTAACAGTTTCTGCCACTGGAAGACTACTTGCATCATCCATCAAGCGATCGACGCTATCAATATCGACTTTGCCAACCACCCCACTAAAAACCAGCTCCCTCAGTTCCTCAGTTATAAAACCTACATCATCGTCCTCTTCCTCTACAGTAACGCCATCATTAGCCCCGTAATTATTTATGCCTCCTGTACAGTACGGCTCTGCAAAGACGTATAATTGTAGCATAAACACCCCCAGACGACTGAGGGTGTACGGGCAGTCCGACGTAGACCCCGTTCGAACGGGAAGACGGGTGAAGCACCAGCTAACGAGGCAGGGAAGCGGGCCCTGGTAGCGGTGTGGTAGAGCGGGAAGGTCCGGGACGAGCGTACGCGCGGGCCGATTTACGCCTCGACGCCCCGGAGCAGCGCTGGGGAACGTACCAGCGCTGACGGGCGGAGGCGAATCTAGGCTCGCTCGCGCACGCGTGTGTCCCCTACCCGCTCCCTTCCTCCTAACGCGCGCGAAGGCGAAGGCGCGTAGTTAGAATAAGCTGGGTGGACTGACCTTGGCGGTCGGTTGAGGACAAGTCCGTGCTTGTCCCCCTCCTGTCGCCGTCGGTCCGCTCCAAATTTAATATACAAATCAATCTATCATAACACTACAGTACCTCGGTACTGTAGTGGACTACTGTAGTGCAGGTCGGCCTGCACTGTAATACTGTCAGCTATGTCGAGGCTGACAGTACACGTATTACCCGTGGTGCGTGCGCGATTTGTTCGCGCGTGGTACACGTGTGCACGTGTATAAGCGTGTCCCTTGTCCCCGTTGTGTACACGTGGACACGCGCGGTTGTACTGTAGAGCGTCGAGCTCTACAGTATGGGATCCCGTTGTTGATCTAATCTAACTAAAAAAAGCCCCAGGGGGGGTTATACTACAATAATTCGCCTCGATATCGAGCCATTTCAGCCTCTTCTTCTCACTCCTCCCGACATGGTCTGGACGCTGATGCTGTAGGAGCTCGCAGTGTTGCTTTCACGTATCCTTGCCCATCTTCTTGGGCCTTATTATATTTTCTATTAAAAACGGCGGAAGTATGTCCGTCTTAATCCAGAAGTTCAACACCACACTCTCAGGAACCAGATCCCATGCTCTGGACATTAAAAACAACGCCATCATAAACGGTAACAACTTTTGCGAATATTAAAAGATTCGCGAGCGGAAGGTTCTATCGACAATTGACCTTCAATCGAGTTCAATATATGACGGACGAGAAGCCGCCGAAAATAGCACTTGAATGAACGACCAGCCGCAGCATCCATGGGCTGCAAATAGGAAGTCATATTCGGAGGAAGAAGAGAACATTTGAAATGTGCAAAACCACCGCAGTCTATGTTGTGTGCTGAACGGTTATCGACAATGTCAATATATGTTTTGCCTTGGAATTGGGCAAATTTGAACCCCTGCACGATATTCTTCCAAATTGTTTTTGTGTTCCAAGCATTAGATTGGGACACGTAGTAGATGTTCAGATCCCAGGGCCCGTTGAAGTGTCTTGAAAAGCTTCTGGGGCGATGTGGCTTTCCAATTATGGTAAGGGGGCCTTCGAGCCATCAGCAAATACATTAAGAACTGCTGTACTGCGATCCTTTATCCGCTCAAAAGGAGTCCCATCCTGCGAAATTGCCCGACTTGGCAGAGATCTGTACAGCACCACCCCATCAATGTTCAGAATGCATGAGAGAAGGTAGTGAGCTGCCTCCTTTT